TTAAATAGTTTATTTTAAATACCTTATTTTTAATTGAAATTTATTTATGTTTGTATTAGTTTTTAATAAATTTTAATAATTGATTAATAATGTTTTATTATATTTTTTAAATAGTTTATTTTAAATACCTTATTTTTTAATTGAAATTTAAATAAATTAAGAAAAAATTAGGGTATAGAATGTTAAAATGAAATATAGAAATAAGAAATTATATTAATTTAGAATCTAATGAAAAGTACAATTACAATTTAACAAAAGAAAAAAACTAATGACCGGCTCTATCCAAGTGACCATCGGTGCCACATTGTGGGGGACGTGCATTGCAACGAGGTCTACGACGAGGTTGCTGTGGTGTGTCCGGTCTCTGTGTGTTGAGTGGTGGGGGAGGGTATGGTTGGGACGGTCCCGACGTATCAGATAGAGTTTGCATCATTTGACCCCAATAGCCGGGAGGTCCACTGTCAACGGCGCTTCCGTAGTCAAGCTCGATGCCCATGTTTTCGAAGGATTGTCGGGGAGGTTGGGTGGAGTATGGACGGTATGGTTGTCCGAATGTGTACATGGATTTGGGTTGGTCTATGTGTGTTGGTTGTTGCGGGGTGTGGTAGTCGAATAATGGATAATTTAGGGGGTCGTTGGAGGGGTAGTTGGAGGTGTTGTTGGAGGTGTAGTTGGAGAGGGGAGGGTCAAATGAGTTGTTTGGGCTATAGGTGGAGGGGGTAGGCTCAAAAGAGGTATCAAGGCTGTAATGGTAAGGTGGTTGATGCTGGGGTTGGGTGGGTGGTGGCATGTAAGGTTGTCGTTGTTGATAGGGGCTATTTGATGGCATGTAGGGGTTTTCGTAAGGCTGGGTTTGGGCACTGAACTGTTGCTGTAGGTTTGACGAAGAACCGTGTTCCCTTGGGTCGGCCAAATAGGTTGGCTGGGACAGGAAAGGCTGAGATGTCGTGACAGACCTAAACCAAGTCATATATTGAAGACTTGGCCTAGCCCCGTGCACAATACGGTCGGTTAAGACGTATTGCCTTCTTCTTTTCCAGTGTATACGCAACTCTTTCCAGTCACTGACACTCCACTGTGCGTCTACCCACTTTTGATGCCACTGCCCCAAGTCTACTAGAGCATCTGGAATATCCTGATGCATCCCAAATTGTAGTTTCACCCGGTCACTCTGGTGCATCTCCACCGTAGTGAACCTAATTATGGGTGTCTTTGATGTCCACACAACGGCATCGTCGGGGCTGGGCTCGTGGTCGAGACCCTCGTACGACATCCAGACAAACTACAATAAAGTTGGACAATTAAGTTAGACAGAGTTTGAGAGGTTTATGTATATACATTAAAAAAAATTAATGGCAAATAACTTACATCATTCGGCCCAAGGTGGTCGATTAGGTTACGGTATTGAATTATTGAGTGCCTTGGACATCTCTGATAGGGATGGCAACGGGGCGGGTCGGGGGCGGGTTTAACTATACCCGCACCCGCACCCGCCTCCATGTAACAGACCCGCCCCCGCCCCCAAATTCAATCGGGGGTGAAAATTTACCACCCAGACCCGCCCCCAGTAGAAAACGGGTGCACCCGCACCCGCCCCGCCCCCACCCGCAAAAAATTATTATTTTTTTAATTATAAGAAAAATTAGTAATTTAATTAAAAAATTGATTATTTTAATAAATTAATTAATTATTTAATTAAAATTTTAATTAATAAATGAATATTAACTTGATTAATTTTATTATTTTAATTGCAATAAGAATATTAATAACTTAATTAAAAGTATAATTAATAAATAAATATTAAAATAAATAAAATAAGGAAATCAAAATAAAATATATTATTTGGGGCGGGGCGGGGGCGGGTGCGGGCGGGTCTTAGTGTCTACCCGCACCCGCACCCGCACCCGTAGTTAAGAACCGGGTTTCACCCGCACCCGCACCCGCACCCAATTAAATCGGATTTCCCCCGTTAATTTCGGGGCGGGCCCGGGCGGGTGTGGGCGGGCCCGGGTTTGTTTGCCATCCCTAATCTCTGATAATTCATCCCTAGGACAGACCACCTAAAAAAATAAACACATCTCAAAAATTATTAACTGAAAAAGAATATGTAGTTGCCAAATAATCTTGAAAAGATACTTACTTGTTGGTGTACGGGAACATAAAAGAATTCCAGTTTATTAGAGCAAGCATTGGCATCCTAGACCAACCCCACGCTTGCAGAAGATACGCACAACCATAAAAAGTGCAGGAATTTTTTTTTGAAGTTTTACAAAGTGCGCTATATAGATGGGCGAGGACAGCTGATCCCCAGCTATATTCGCACACTTTGTTAATATTCTGTAATAATGGTAAATACATAGTATGGACGGTATTTCCAGTGCCATCTGGAAATAAAAAGTGCCCGAATAAAATCATAATATAGCACCGAGTTTTTTGTATTTTCTCAAACTCGGTGCTATCATCAGTTAAGACAGTATGGTTGTATTGTTCTCTAAGGTATTTTAAATTTATTCCCTGACCCCTCGGGCGGCCCTCGCTTTCCGCCTGAGGTCCGTCCGTACAAAGAGGGGCGCCCAATAAATCTACGCAAAGTTGGTCAGGGACACCAACTTTGCCGTTGACGGCCTTACCATCGATGTGGAGGTCGAGCAACATGTAAACGTCCTGAAGAGTCACAGTACACTCACCAAAAGGTAGGTGAAATGTATGTGTCGGCAACCAGGACACAATCGAACAAAATGTCCTAACGTAGGATCAAGTAGCAGATCATAGTTTCTTATTTAATCTTGTCCCGTTAAATCAATATCAAATTCCATTCGATTAATAGCAACTTTTATAAGATGAATAACAAATTTCATTCGAATAATACCAGGTTTCAATCAATTAAAACCATAGTTAACTGACACAACAACAACATGACAACAGAACACTGCGCGAAGACAACATAAATTAAACAAACATAACAACAATGTAAAGACCTAAAACAGAACACTGCACCAAAGCGTCTACGATATCACGACCATCAACTTTATCTTCTTGGGTGTCAACATCATCACAAGGACACCATCATCATTTTCTACTTTTCTCCATTCACGAGTAACTCCGTTTCTCCCGGTCTCCTCGACCAGCCTCTCGATTTTCCTAATCTTTTCTCCTGGACCAATGTCTCCTTCTAGCCAGCGGTTCAGTTCCCTGTGCAAGTGCTCCAACGTCTGCGTATTCCAGAGGAGCACCTTCATCGGAGGCTTTGTTGCTGAGAACACAACTAGGGCATTTCTTTTCATTAGATCGAACGTTGGAAATGGTTCCTCCGATGCTGATGACGACGACGGAGAATGTTGATTTAGAAATGCAGACATTCTAGACTCCACTCAACTCAAACTGCACTAACACTTTAGTCTTTTGGGATATAATGTTGTGAAAACATACATGTGTTTGCGGTCGTATTTATAGTAAAAAAAACAGTACGTACCCTATATGATATGACTTAAATAACCTTACAACATTTATACACTCAATTTGCTCAACACTATATTTTTATTTTGTATTTAAACCAGTTTAAGTTTTTTGTTTATTCAACATAAATTTATTAAATTAATTAGAAATTATTTTTTTTTAAACCTAATTATTGTAAGTTCTTTAATTAAAAAATAAATTTTAAGCTTAAACCACATTATTTTAAATTTATTAATTCAAAAATTTATTAATATTTAAATCTAATTTTTTTAGTTTATTAATAATATTTATGCTTAAAAAAATTAATAATTCAAAATATAAAAAAAATTCGTTTTAAATTTTTGAAAACATTAAATGAATATAAACAAATAATCAAAATATAAAACGTGAATTTTTGAAAACCCTAGCTTTCCACTTATTCGTCAATTGGTATGGCCCATGACTTCCAATCACAACTCATTCGCCATTTAAATTGGCGAATTCACCTTTCCAATTTCAACTTTCAACACATTCGCCATTTCAAATGGCGACCCAAGGTAGGATTCATAGCCACTTTGGTAAATTTTTTGAATACTGCGTTATTTTGGTAATTAAAAATCAATATATGGTTTTCTTAAAAAAAAAATTCAAAAATGTATCTTCAGATTAATTTTTAACACAATAAAAATGTCTCTAAACTACTATAAACCTCCACCATATATGACTTCTCATCGTCATAGACAAATCCTTACCACCACAATTTACTATACACTTACTAAAGTTTGTAAATACCCCTACCTTTGAAAATATACTATACACACTTAAACCAATATAGAAGCAGGGAAATTATTATTATTTTTTATAGCAAAATTGCTTTAGTGGGATTGGTTTGAATTAATATATAAAGTTAACTTGATTTGTGATAGAAAAGATTAGTTTTTGAATCTGTGATGATATATCTGTTACTCTAATTGTCTTTTTCTTATTTCTTTCCAATTCCTATTATATTAGGTCAAGTATCTCTTGTATTCAAATTTAATACAATGCATTTGCTTATAAAAAAATTATATTGAATCGACTATATTGAGTGATTTATTACTTGTATAAAAGAGACACGCAATCTAATACATAATTCTATAGAGACAATGAATGAATCTTATGTGAAAATAACCTTTTTTTTTAATATTGATATCGTGTCTTTTAAGACTTTTCAAGTAAAATGATAAATATTATTTTAAGAAATCAATAGTTTATTTCGTAAAGAATTTTAATTTTATTGCTCAATATTCATATATGATATATTATATGACTTAAAAAAACACAAAATATATAAATAACATAACACTATACATGTCCGGAAAAACACTTGAATATACCGTGTTACTCAGAAGGAAACAGAAAAAGTACACAAGACAAATTCAATTCTAGGATAAGATAAGGTAAGGTAAGGTAGGTGGTGGTGGGGTTAGCTAGGAAAGGAAAGTATTAACATTCATAAAGTAAGGTACATTTTTATTTTACATGAAATAAATAACCATAAAGTTTATAATATTTACAAATTAAACCTAATGTTGTTCCCATTCCATCCAATTTGATTGACTACCAACTCTAGGAATACTGTTGACTCTTGAGAATTTATCAACCTTAAAGTTGGCCCCACACATTACTCCTTCACTGTCTATCCTTGGCATTGCTTTCAACTTGTTCATTGGATGCTCAAAACTCATCAACCCTCCTTCACTATGAAACATACACCCTGCAATATTCTATTCAATATAAGCACAACTCTTCATAAATTGGAATAGTTTTTGCATCTCACGCCTCGGGAAAAAAAACGTGTCTGTGTCCGAATTTAACAGTGTCTATGTGTCAGGGTCAGTGTTTGCGGAGGAGAAAAAAAAATTGGTATACCCGTTGGAAAAGGAGCAAAAGATTTAGCACAGCCTTCTTTAATAACATCTAGATCATCAGAAATCACAACAGATCCATCAGCTGCAATACCCCAGTACAACTTCACTCCACCATCAGAACCCTACAAAAACAGACTCATTCAAGTATTCATTGAAATTTTAGAGAATTGTTAATAAAAGATCAACATGAATATATATATGTACCAGTGCGGCAAAGACAGTGCCAATTTTGCTGTCATAAACAACAAAAGCGAAACTACCGTCAAGTTCCTTAACAACTTGATCTGCTGGGTATGGACCACGGTCACGAAGTGTCTTATAAGCTTCAATCACAAACATGGCTTCATCAGTACCTTTGGATAAACCATATTGTTTGTTCAGAAGTGACAAATTGTTCAAACTCCCCAGAAATAAACAGTATATGTCATCAACCCCACAAAACAGCCTGCAAAAATATCATCCTAAGCTTCAAGATGAATCACAAGACAAAAGAAACATGATTAAAAGACAGTAAGAGAAACATGATCGTTAACCTTTGATGAACGGAAAAAGGGGTGTCTGGTCTGACATAAGCAAGAACAGAAGCTTGACCGAAACTCATAGAACAAGTGTTATGAGGATGATGAGAGAGGAATTGTCTGAGAGTTTCTTCAGGAAGCTTAGGTTTGTTGGAACCTTTGTAGGATGCTGGACTATTCAGCTCTTGAGGTGGATGAGCAAAAGCTTTGTGGAAAATTGCCAACATCTTTTTTACCTTTCACATAAAAATGGAAGAAGGATCGTTCATTGTTGTGATATTTATATGGCGATGTATAGATACACAGATATTTACATACTAACACCTACCCTATGATGAATAAAAGAGGTTAAGATGGACTTGTCTTGTTCTATAATGTTTACGTGGGTCCTACTCTGATGGATAAGTTTGAAAATCCAACAAGTATTCTTTTTCTTGATCTTATCGCAACAATTTTGTTTGTCAAAATTATTGTTTATCGTTAAAGAGTTAAGTTCATTTACTATTCTTTTCCCTTAGTAAGATATTGCATTGCGACTCTCATAAAATGTCTCAATGATTGTCAGTTGAACTAGATTAACAGATGATGAATTCATTTGCTTAATTAACAAAATATGTGATTTGATTGTATATAAGTTTTTTGATATTATTTTATGAATAATTGTTTTATGAAATGGGAGAAAACATAAATTATACAAAATAACAAATTTACTTAATCAATCACTTCATGCTAATTAGACGCAAGAAATCTCATTAACAGAAAATACATTTTATGTAATTAAATAAACAATTAATTCAATTTTTAAATTATATCACTCTTCAAACTAGTTGTGTTTGAAGTTTTAATTTATTGAATCGTGGTTTTATTTCAGAGCTCATTTTTGTAATTTCTTTTACCAACAGTAATTAATAATCAAGATAATAAACACTAAAATATCATGAATCATGGTTGGTAGGCTATTCAACATCTAAATCATTTGTATATGATTCTAATATCAGAGGTATTTATCATTTGTCAGAGTTATGTATAAACAACGGTATTATATTTTTTTTTTAATTTTTCAAAAATTTGCATTGATGATTGAAATAAATTGTCTAAATTCCAATGTAAATATAAAAATACCTTATGTACTTATCTATATAAAAAACACAATACATCGCACAAACATAGCACACAAATAAGATTAAGAAAAATGTAAAATAAGTATAAAAAAATGTATAATTTAACCGTTTTAGACATTTTTGTTTATAGAAGAAGATACACTAACTCAGATGATGATGGATCCTCACTAACAAAATATATTATTTGATTCTATATAAGTTTTTTGATATTATTTTATGACTAATTGTTTTATGAAATGAGAGAAAAAGTAAATTATACAAAATAACAAATTTATTTATTCAATCACTTCATGCTAATTAGACGCAAGAAATCTCATTAACAAAAAAAATACATTTTATGTAATCAAATAAACAATTAATTCACTTTTTAAATTATATCACTTTTCAAACTAATTGTGTTTGAAGTTTTAATATATTGAATCGTCATTTTATTTCAGAGTTTATTTTTGTAATTTCTTTTAACAACAGTAATTTTAATTTGTATTTAAAACTTAAAACTTTCAATTACACCACAATAATTAGAATAATAAAATATCAGATTTAAATAAAGTTACAAAACAATAAATATTACAAAAATACACAAATTTTTAATAACGTTATAATAGATAAACACTAATATATCATTAATCATATTAGGCTATTCAACGACAACGGACAAAATAAATGGATCTTCAACCCTCAACCATTTAAATCATTTTGTATATGATCTTAATAACATAGATACGTATTTATCATCTGTACTAACATCTGTCAAAGTTACGCATAAACAACAATATTTTATTTTTCTAACTTTTCAAAAACTTGTGTTGATGGTTGAAACCAATAATCTAAAATTCTAATGTAAATATAGAGATACCTCATGTACTTATCTATATAAAAAAAACACAATACATCACATAGACATTACATGATTAAGAAAAATATAAAATGAGTAGAATTTTTTTTTTATAATTCAACCGTTTTAGACATCTCTATTAATAGAAGAATAGACACTAACTTAGATGACTGATCCTCACTAGCAAATTTTTTTTAATGAAAAGATGTTATTTTAATAAAGTATTTATTCTTTTTAATTTAAATATTAATAAATATAAACTTTTAATAAAATAAAAAATTAAATATATTATAAAAGATTTATAAAATTTATTTTATTATTATATTATTAAATAAATTTTTTATTAATTTTTATATTTAAAAATTGATTTAAATTGGTTAAATATAATAAAATAAAAATAAAACAAAGAGAAATTTATCTAAAAAACAAACCTCTAAAAAGTGTCTTGACACATTCGCCATTCAAAATTGTGTCATATAAAATTAAAAATAAAAATTATATCAAATAGTGGTATAATAGAACTTTATTTTTATATTTTGAAACTTTCATTTCAAACATTGTGGCATTGTGGTCAAAGAGTCACTAAAATTATTCAAAATAAAATTAGGATAAAAAACAGACAATTGGCTAATTTGATTGAATGTTTAAAATAGTTTAATTCAGATTTAATCACAAAATATTAGTAATAAATATCATCTTACTTACCATTTTTGTTTTTAATATTTTGAAAACTACATCGGAGATAGAGTGGACGAGACCTTTAAATAAAAAACTTACTTAAATAATTAATTTTTTTAAATAAATAAATAAACTAACTCGTTTTTTTACCTGTTTTTCAAACTAGTGTATTTTTTTATAAAAAAAAATTAATAAAAAAAAATTATCAATTTAATTGACGACAGTATATAAATACAAAGAAGAGAGAATGTATACTGCCGTCTATTAAATTGACGACTGCTCTTATATATTTGTACACTGTTGTCAATTAGATTGACGATCCCTTTTTATTAAATTTTTATTTTTTTAAAAGTATAATAGTTTAGAAAATAGGCGAAAAAAGTAAATTAGTTTGAATATTTATTTAAAAATTTAGTTATTTGAGTAAAAATTTCCTTTTAAATCATAGTTGAATAATCAATTATAATGAAATAAAATAATAAATAGATTAGCAAGTGATGTTGATTTTTTCTCAATCAGTCACTGTTGTTATAGAAAACCCTTAATCGATATAGACAAAGAATACCTATACATGCTTCTATCAAGTCTAACTTTCTTCGGTATACAACAAAAATTAAATGAATAAATAAAAGACCTCTTATCTTCACATAAACAAACAAAATAATTAATGATTGTTAGTTTTATCATGAGAAAATAGTTGAATCAAATCATATCAATCAATGATCTAAAGTTTTCTTTGGTTATGCAACAATAAAATTTAATTTTGAATAAATTGATTAGATTAAAAATAAATTAAAATTATAAAATAATTTATATTTAAATACATCGGTAAATTATAAGATAAAAATTATGTTTAAATTATAAAAGCTACAAATTATACTTTCAAGTAAAATCAATTTTAAAATTTATTATTAATTAGATTTTGATGAATAAAACACCTTAAAATCAGTTATACATCTCTAACATTACTTATATTTCTCTTGAACGGGAAATAAAAAATATTGTGTACAATTGAGTAAAAGAATATAAACTAATTTTGTCAAAGTGTGAGAGAAGTTCCAACTTCTCTCTAACATTTAAGTTTTTAATAGTAGGCAAGCAAAAATGAATATGGAGTGGAAGAAAGCTAATAGAAAGATTTTCAGAGAACTAAAGGATCTTGTGTGGGATTCTTTTCCTCTAGGAGAAGGAATGCGAAGGAAGATGAAGAAGATGGATTGTCTATTTGTTTTTTTCGAGTTTCTTGATAGATTCAAGGCTAAGTAGATGTTTCAACTATTTGGAGATTATGGGAAGCTAATTGAGGTTGTTATACCTCCTAAAAGGAACAAATTTGATAGAAGATTTGGATTGCAAGGTTTAAGGATGTGGATGATTTGAGGCTTTTAGCGATCAAACTGGACAACATTCTCATTGATGACGTGAAAATCCACGTTTATGTTTCAAGGTTCTCTAGAAAGGTATCATTGCATAAGGGTGATGCCTCAAAGTTTAAAGATAGGGCATTCAACACTCTTTTGAAAGATCTGTCTAGGAAGGGATAAATTAAAGACATGATGTTTTTTGGAAATAGATCTTATGTGGAGGCCCTCAACATTTCTAGTGTCAACTCTAATCATTTTAGGAAGACCTCGGCCCATCTGAAGTACCAAATAGAAGAAGAAGATCTGGGAAGGTTCAAGAAGGCTTTTGTAGGCATAGTGATCAATCTTGGGATGCCCTATAATATTCAAACTAGCTTTGAGGTTGAAGGTTACTTTTCTATCAAGGTCACTCCCCTTAGGACCAACTCGTGTCTTCTTGATGAAAGTGAATCGAGAGAGATCAGATACCTTTTCAGATATGCGAAAAGTTGGTGAAAGCAGTGGTTTTTGGAAAGTAGGGAATGGAAGAAAGATGATGTAGACAAAGAAAGAGTTACTTGGTTAAGGTGTTATGGCATCCATTGTCACGTGTAGAACTTTACTTTATTTGAACAATTGGCAAACACTGTCATAAAATATATGTGTGTGGATGAAAATACACTAAAGGGGGTTGTATGGATGTTGACAGAGTCATGGTTCACACAAACTGTGTGGTGTTGATCAATAAAACTTTCAATGCTATAGTTAATGGGGTATCATTTAAAGTCAAGATAACAGAAGATTATCATAGGTCACTTCGTATTTTAACTAAGGATCCTAATAGGGAGGTAATTGTGTCGTGTTCTTCTTCGGACGATAAGAGCATCTAGAGTAAGTTCAATAGGGAGGAGGTGAATGAAGATCTAATGGTCATGGAGAAGAATTCGTCGAAATAACAAGATACATTGGGAGTTGATCTTGCCTTGGCTAATGCTACTTCAGCTAGTTTTTGTCTCGAGGAACAATGTAAGGTCACTTCCAAGGAGGATAGCCTTTTAAGGATGTCTGACTTTGACGTTGCTATCGTAGCAGCTAAGGCGGCTTCGGAAGATAAAAGGCCAAATCAGAGGGATATTTGTAATGATTCTGGCGGGGCCTTGAGGATTGTGAAGATGTCAACTCATGGGCCTATTTCCAAGGGTGATCCTTTTATTCTAGCAATCAAGACAAATAAACCTAGTAAAAAAAGT